GCCCTCTTTTCCCTGGGTACTGCTGTTTCCGTCTTCTCCCGGCAGCCGTGTCAGCGCTGACATTTATCGTCTCCTCCCTGCATCTCGGCACTCTCCTCCTCCAACTTTTGCCAGGGGGGTTGAAATCCACATCCTCCCCATGGCTCCATGTGTGATCATGCATCTCTCATGTTTCACACCAACATTTCCTGCTCTGTTCGATCTGGCCGCCTTCACCTGAGTCTTCCCCGTTCTTGTAACCCACGGTGCTTCCATATCCAGCCATGTCTTGGCGAATACGTCTCCCTTCCCCTTCTCAGCATGGTTGTGTCATCTCCAATTTGTTGGGTAGAAAAATTCACTGCCAGCTGTTCCACGGGGAATGGTTCCGATTTCTTACCTGTCCCACCTGGCATGTCCTGGCCCACATGTCTGACAGTCCAAGCATGCTCAATCAGTGCTGCTTAAAACCCCTTTCTCCTCCTTTGGTTATGACCCAGCAGAGGGTAATGGAAGTCTTATCAGCCCCTGCCGCTACCATCCCTGGGATTCACATTTCCTTGACTCCATATCTAGTGACTGGTGCATGTTCGACGGAATCTGGGTACTTCTATCTTCGCATCCCTAGAAGCTTCTGCCCATGTTCCTTCCTACAGTCTTCATCTCCACAGGCTCTGGCTTGGCTGTGTTTGCTTGGAGACCTGCTCCCAAGCTTGCTCTGCTGTTCACAGAAGTTGTCGTTTCCTCCTCCCAACATCCCTCTGCATACCTGATGCCCATCATGGTGATAAAAAGAGGTGGGCTTGGTGCAGGACTGGTGAAAAAGGGTTGTCATTTCGAAAGGGTCTCCGATACAGGGGTTTTCTGGCTTGTGGGCAAGGCTGAGGGACTTACCTTGTACCGGGTAAATTTGCTTTTCTAGTGCTTTCTTTTCCCTCCAGTTCCCCTGAAGGACTTCCTTTGGGAAGGACTCCAAGGGTTTTAGTTGCCCAGGAAAGGCCATGGTGACCATACCTACATTATTAGCTTTCATGTACTGCAAAAGGTGTCTCCTTATGCCTTCTCTTGTCCATATCAAGGACTCCCAGGACCTTTGTTTCAAACCCTGCAGGATTTCCTAGCTTGTGTGCTCATCTCCCCTTCTGGCATGATCTTCCCACTGGATGGGCTGATTGCTTTTGTTGCCACTGCAGTTCTTATAAAATCTTCCCTTTCTCTGCCCTGTTGAGGAATGATTCTCTCTCCCAAAAAGAAATGTCCTGATCCGATATTTGTCCAGGATTCTGTTCAGTGCTGCCAGGCCTCGTTCCCAGAGAAGAAACTCACTTCCATTCCTTTGCCTGGAATGACAATGATAAGACAGGTGTTATCCAGCCAACAGTGTGTCCAGTGTCTCTTCATTTTGGTTCATTGTAACTAATAAAAGCTTTATCTTTCTGCTCTTTAGCATATCACATGTCACTGCATCTCCACCCCTGTCCCTGGGAACTCTCTTGGCCTCCCATCCCTTTTATACCTCAAAGTGGTGGGTACTTTTTTTCCCATGACCATTCCTCCAGCACCTGGGTAACTTCTCTTGAATCCTAAATGTCCACCCTCCCTTGTCCTTCAAAACCCCAGTAGAATCCTTGAGTTCATTAATCCATTCCCCAAATCCCAGTTGGTTATATGGAATTCAGTACAGTCATGAATGCTTTTTAACCACTGCCCCAAACAGGATATCGTGGTCCCACCCCTGACTTAATTGGCCGCATTGCACGAGGACAGGAGGAGCTTTGGGTCTGTGATGATGAGGACCATGGGGACATCTCAAGGACAGAGGACCTGCTGCCAGGTGAGTTGTGGCTGCCCCCTGCCCTGACTCCCCTCAGAAATGCTCCATGGCCACAGTGACAGGGGCCTGCAACCTGTAGATCTGCCTAGAACAGCCCTTCCAGGTTTCTGACTTCAAATTGCTTATGCAGTCACGTGTCCCGGCAGCCTTTCCTTTGTTCTATACCTAACTACAACTGCTAGGAGACATCTGGTTTCCCTGGGATACCATGGTCTTTAATTTCAATCTTCATACAGCAGTGTAAAAGCTGATTCATCAGCCCAGGGTAACTATAGCAGGCTCTCCCAAGGCATGATAGGATTTGTATTTCCTCATGGAAATCAGCATGGTAGGTTGAAGCTCTTTGTAGCCATTGCTGTAGGTCAAAAGAGAGGGCTGGGGCTCTGCCTGGTGTTTTTCTGATCAGGTCAACCTGGAACCGAGGGAACTCTGCTCTCTTGGGCCTGTTAGAGCAGGAAGCCATTCAGGTAGTGTCCTAACACATGTCCTACGGTGGCTTCTCCCAGCAGGTCCCGAGGGGTTGGGGCTGACAGCTGGGCCAGAAATCCTGAGCGTCTGGCTCTGACCTCCACTGAGCAGGGAACGTTAGCCCGGCACAGGGACGTGCCCCTCCCTCAACCCCAGCACTTGGGGTTTGGCAGGAAGACCTTGTCCTCTTCGGAAAGCGTAAGTGCCAAGGTCTTTTGTGCCAAGTCATGCTCAAGGCCCATGACAACAGAGGGTATCTCACAGAGGGAATCGCAGTGTTTGGCCTGTGCCATCAGGGCAGGGACTAACCTCAATTTTCTCTTCCGCATGCAGGAGGCACCTGGTCGCTAAGCAGAGCTCAGGAGCAAAGTCCTGAAAAAGGGCCTGCAAACCTGGAGCTACCTTGGACTTACCCAGGGAGTTTGGTCAAGATGGAGTCCTTGAGACCTGAGGAAGACCAATGGCTCAAGAGCCAGGGGAGGCTCCAAAAGCAGAAGAAGAATATAGTAGTGAAGCGGGGCCTATCTTCTCTTGGGCGTGAGAGTGGAGAAAGGACTGATGCCAAAGAGAGCCCCAGGCGCATGGAAGGATTTGTGGAGCTGAAGAGCCATGAGGCCAAGTTCCACTGGAAAAAGGCCGTATGTCCAAATCAAGCCAGTGGGGAGGGCCTGAGAGGGAAGCAGGAAGTGCCTGCCAATCCCAGGACTACAGCCCACCCCTACCCTCAGTACCAGAAAAGTTTTAGTTGCCCCTCACTCCAGGCCCTGCCACATTGGTGCCCTGAGGGTGGGGAGGACTTCACCCACTCCTCCAGCCTGGCCATGAACCAGTGCATCCACAAAGTGAAGAAACTAGAGTGCAGGAAGAGCTTCACCCAGTCCTACTGTCTGGCCACGCACCAACGTATGCACACAGGGGAGAAGCCACATCAGTGCCCTGAGTGCGGGAAGAGCTTCACTCTTTTGTCCAGCTTGACCCGGCACCAGTATATCCACACAGGGGAGAAGCCACATCAGTGCTCTGTGTGTGGGAAGAGCTTCACCCGTTCCTCCCATCTGGCCCAGCACCAACGCATACACGCAGGGGAGAAGCCACATCAGTGCTCTGTGTGTGGGAAGAGCTTCATCCGGTCCTCCCACTTGGCCCAGCATCAACGCATACACGCAGGGGAGAAGCCACATCAGTGCTCTGTGTGTGGGAAGAGCTTCACCTGTTCCTCCCACCTGGCCCGACACCAACGGATCCACACAGGGGAGAAGCCACATCAGTGCTCTGTGTGTGGGAAGAGCTTCATCCGTTCCTCCCACCTGGCCCAGCACCAACGCATCCACACAGGGGAGAAGCCACATCAGTGCTCTGTGTGTGGGAAGAGCTTCATCCAGTCTTCCCAACTGGCCCGGCATCAACGTGTCCACACAGGGGAAAAGCCACATCAGTGCTCTGTGTGTGGGAAGAGCTTCACCTGTTCCTCCCACCTGGCCCCACACCAACGCATCCACACGGGGGAGAAACCACATCAGTGCTCTGTGTGTGGGAAGACCTTCACCCGTTCCTTCAATCTGGCCATCCACCAGCGTATCCACACAGGGGAGAAGCCACATAAGTGCTCTGTGTGTGGGAAGACCTTCACCCGTTCCTTCAATCTGGCCATCCACCAGCGTATCCACACAGGGGAGAAGCCACATCAGTGCTCCGTGTGTGAGAAGAGCTTCACCCATTCCTCCACTTTGGCACGACACAAACATGTCCACACAGAGGAAAAGCCACGTCTGTGTTCTGTGTGTGGGAGGAGCTTCACTCATTCCTTCAATCTGGCACAACACCAGTGCATCTATATGGGGGAAAAGCCATATTAGTGCTCTGAGTGTGGGAAGAGCTTCCCCCCTTCCTTTGTTTTGGTGCGACACCAGTGCATGCATACAGGGAAGAATCTACATCAGTGCTCTGTGTGTGGGAAGAGCTTTACCAGTTCCTCCTACCTGGCCCAACACCAGCGTATCCACACACAGGAGAAGTGCTATGTGTGGAAAGAACTTCTCCCAGTCCTTCAGCTAGGCTACACACCAGAGTATGCACACAGGGAAGCAGCCAAATCAGTGGCCTAAGTGTGGGAAGACCATTACTATTTCATCCCACCTGGCCTAGCACCACCACATCCACACAGGAGAGAAGCCACATCAGAGCTCTGTGTAGGAGGAGCTTCACCCAGACCTCCCACCTGGTGCAGTACCAGCCTATCAACACAGCAAAGAAGCCATATCAGTGCTCTCAATGTGGGAGGAGGCTCACCGACTCCTTCAGCCTGGCCAGACACCAGCGTGAGCACACAAATAAGAAGCCATATCAGAACTCTGTGTGTGGAAAGAGCTTCACTCATTCCTCCAATCTGGCACAACACCAGCAGATGCATACAGGGAAGAAGCCAGATCAGTGCTCTTTGTGGGAAGAGGTTTACCAATTCCTCCCACCTGGCTCAACATTCACCCAGTCCTCCAGCCTGGTCAGTCACCAGCACATCCACACGGGATTAGCCACACCAGTGCTCAGAGTGTGGGAAGAGATTCAGCCAATTTTCCATCTGGCCTGACACCCATGCATCCACAAAGGAGAAATGACATGAGTCCTCTGTGTGTGAGGATAGCTTCCACAGCTCCTCCTCCCTGGCCAAATACTAGTGCATCAGCACCTGGGAGCATCCGTAATTCTGCCAGCAGCGCAAGGAGGGCTTGCAGATGCCTACCTACTCAGCATCTGCAAGTGGCTGCATTCAAGCAAGCAGCCTCCTGCTGCTGGAGTGCAGAAATATTTCATGCAGACTATGGGCCTTGTAAGGCACCACAGAACCCAAAGTACCCAGTAGCAGGTCGTAGCAGGTTGTCAAGGGCAGGGGGAAGGAGGTGCAGCCTGTGGCAGGTCCTGCTTCTACTGTGGAAGGGTGGAAGGAGTATGAGGACATTGTCTGGGTGAAATGCAGCATGTCATCTAGGGAATGTTCCCTGATCACTAATATCCCAATATACCATGTCTTGTGTGGAGGAACTTGCTTTGGCTTATTTTGTGCTTGTCCAAATAAAATGCAAGGTGCCAGAGATAACCTGGGTGTAGCACCCTGGGATCCTACTCCAGCTCTGGCAACAGCGCCCCATGATTCCCTGCTGCTCCCCCTTGCCCCTACCCCCCTTGCCCAACAGCCTTGAGTGGGAGCAGAGAGATGGGTTTGTTACCAGATTTGCCTATCACCTTAGGGTGTGCTCATTTACTAGGGATACATTTCTAGGGTCTTTGTAATTCTATCAATGTGCTGCTTGTGTACTGGTGTTTCTATATGGAGCTGTATCTCTCCCTTCTGCAAATCCTCACCCCCACTGGAGCTATCTTGCAGGACTCAGTTTCAATGAGGCTGGGTTCCTCCAGTCACCAAATCAGTCATACACACAAACACACCCAAATTAACGTGACATGCCTGACCTGGCTGGCTTGATTAGCACGGACAGGCTGACACCCTCATATGCCAGGAATCAGTTCATTAAGGTAACAATAAACTGCAGTCGGACACAAGCGCACGTGTAAGCAGAATCCCTCTGAATCCGGCTGGGTGTCCAGCTGACACCCTCACGGGTCAGCATTCAATTCATTAGGGCACATCTGAGCCAAACTGGGTCAATCAGCCTGTACAAGCTGATCCCCTTATGTGTTTCAAACTCAGCACATCCCAATCTTTTGTCCTAACTGTCCTAGTAGGGGTAGTCTCTTGATGAGCAGACCCCACAGTATTTCTGGACTTCACAGGGATCTTTGGCTTAGGTAAAAGAAGTGTTGCTGCATTGCAAGTCTAAGTATTTGGGGAAACTTAGCTCAAGCTTAACTAGTACAGTTCAGGTTCAGAAATCTATGCTACAGAGAAAAGAGAGCAAGAGCTGGGGTCTCACCAGTCCAAGGCACTCGGGTTGTTTGCTGACAGGTAAAGTTCTCAGCACGATCCTTGAAGGGAGACGATCTATTTCTTCCAACTTCTCGAGAACAACAGCAGATGGTGTCAGAGAGATTTCGTCTCTTGAAGCACACTTGCTTGCTGATTTTACAGATTGTTATTCCCTCAGGTCAGCTTCTTCAAAGCATTCTTTTAATAGTGTAAATAATTGTCTTTTCTCTTGACAAGGGGTTATCTGGTTTGGAACATCTCAAGAAACTGATTAACAACCAGGAAAAACAAGGTTTTAAGGAGTAACCAGACACTTAGGAGCCATCTTGAAATTCCTATGGATAGCAGATATACTGGATGGGATACCTCATTGTTTCTTCAGAAACAATAGATAGCTTGCAGCGTCAGGGTTTTGTATCTTTACCTGTTGTGAATAAGCCTCAGTTTAGCATGACTTCCAGATCTTAGTCTGTTAAAAGACTTAAGGGATTTACTGGAGTGTTCATAAACTTGGTAGGGAGGACTTCCACTAGTTATTTTAGGAAAAGTATGACAGCATTTGTGGTCAGGGCTCCAACGGGCTGGATGCTGTGATGAACCCTTTACCATTGTTCAGATGTTGCCCATACCCCCTCGGACTCGGTCTCTTGCCTCAGCATTCCCTAACCTGGCAACCGAGTTTTAGTCAATCAAGTTTAAAGAGGCCTCCCATAGGGGACTGGGGAACATACGGCCTGAGATGCCTAGTAAACTTGACTTTGCTTAGTTTAGGTTAAATGAGGTGGGGGGTGGGAAATGAAAATGTCCTTTGTAAATCCAGATTAGAATTGGTCTGATAAGTGCTGAGCTGGGCGTGTGTAAATGTGGGTTGATTAGCATTTGGAGCACAGATCCCCCAAAATGCAGTGCTCCCCTGCTTTTCTGGTCCCAGAATTCACTGCAGTCCTTGTCTTGGAATCTCTGTTCTCCATCCCGAATGCTAATGAAGGTGCATTCCTGTCCCATCTCCCATTTAAATGAGTTGTCATCTGCTTCCATCTTGGATGCAAATGAGACCAGGGGAGTTGCTCCTTTATCTGGAGGGCTTTAGGTGTGTCTCCCACTGCATCTTCATTGTCTTTCCTAATCAGTTCTTGTTCAGGTGGAGGAGGGGAGGGGGGCGGAAATTCTTTGTGAGTCAGACAGGCTGCGTCATGTGCCAGGGTTCCCCAAGAACATGGAGCTGAGACGTAACAGGACCTTCTGGGACACTGGGCCAGCTGGAAAGGCAGAGTGGGAGATCTGCTTGGTTTGAAGGCGCAACACTCAGCCCCTGCTCATCTGACCAGGAGCCACCCGCAGCTCAAGCTGCCTTTGTCTCCTTGCTAGAAAGAGAGACAAGACCCAGGGCAGGGTAGACACACATGGGTGCAAATACAAGCTAGACTCGTATCCCCTTCTGATCCAGGGCAGTTTGCTGCTTCTCATGTCTAACACCAAATGCCATCCAGGTTCTCCATGGACCTCAGCATCACCTTGAAGCTGGGTTTGCAGGGCGGGATCCTCTGTGGGATGCGACACCTCTAAAAGAGACACCTGAGTGTAGTAGCTATGCTATGATACTATACAAACAATAGTAGCTATGCTAGCACTAATGCCCATAGTAGTAATAATGTTCTTATTACTACTATTGCTCTTTTTATTACTGTGGCTATTACAATAGTGCTAATAGGAATACTGATATTGCTGCTACTACTCTGGGTATTGTTACTACTACTATTATTTCTATTATTATAGCAGTAGCAAAAATGTTATTACGTCTGTTGCTATTTGTATTAATTTAACAACACTAGTAGCAGTAATAGCGTTATTACTGTTGCTATTATTAGCGCTACTACCCTGATTATTAATATCAAGAATACTACTACTACTAGACAGATCCTAGTTACCAGCACCATGGGGAAGAAAAGGCAGATATAGAGGCCACTCAAGCTGGAAGAGCACTGAAGGCCTCAGTTTCTGAGGACAGGGGCAGCTAAACCTGATATGGGGTTGCATGTAGGCACAGGCTGAGCCAGTTACTACCAATGGCTCTGGATCAGGACAGCAGCTTTCTCCAGGGACTCAAAGGTACTTCGTAAATCATAATGAAGCCTACTCCTCATCCTGGTGAGATGAGAGTTGGGGTGGAGTGGTGTAGTGTTGGAGAAAAAGCCAGCAGTCCTGACAGCTGTTACTAGCCTACAATCTCCCTCCCAATCTCGGCCCCCTGTGCTAATCCTCCCCAACCCAAAGACAGGGCTGCTTCTATAACCCTTCCGATCTGGGCTGCTGGACCTCACTTTCCTCCCACTTCCAGGGAGAGGACCAAGGAGTCTGGGCTCAGTCCAGCCTGCTATAAGCCCCTGGACTTGTCAGACGTGGACCGACAAGTTGTAGCTATTACGAGAGGCAGTTTCTCAAGGCAGCTGGTTTTAGATGCACAACACGGGCACGGAAATGATGAAGATTCACCTGTCTAAGCCTTGGTCAGTCATCATAGACGTGTCCTCCTGGAACAGCAGCTCTTGGGACCACCCTGCCAAGGAATACAGTGCCCTGTGAACCTTGCAGGTTTTATCCCGACACCAAAAGGATTCGCATGTCAGACAGCAAGGAGGATGTTGACTCAGGCCAGATTGGCACCCAGCATCTTTGGGCTGTCTGGTTCCCCCACACTGCAGATCCCTGAAGAAGGGAAGTGTTATATGGAGGATGGACATAAACTATTCTTCAAGGCTACAGGGGATGGGATAAGGTGTAGGGATTGGTATCGGCATCACCCGGCTCTGTGGAAGCCTGAAGGGCTAAGATGGCACTGCTGAAGGGAGGATACCTTGAGTACACAGGTGGTCATGCCAGCCCATCACCACTGTCCAGCATGGCCTGATAATGTATTAATGAAATTACAACTGGTTTTGGCCAGGATTGGGAAGTTCTCTGGAGTCAAGGCTGACTGTGTGATTGGCTGATGCAATCTCTGCTTCATTTTGGCCTCCTCCTCCCAGTCTGTCCTTCTGTTCAGCTCAAGGTCGAACTCTACCCAGAGGATCTTGGCCCCCCTGC